GGTACCTGCTGTGCATGCGCGGGAAGAGATGCACACGAGGGTGATGTGCGCGCAAGCACAGAGGCATGCGGCCTGCAGGGGGGTTGCGCCCCCCCGCCAGCCTGCTGATTGTCAGGTACCTGCTGCGCATGCACGGGAAGAGATGCACACGAGGGTGATGTGCGCGCATGTGCAGGGGCATGCGCCGTGCGGGGGGTTGCATGCGCATGCGCAAAGGCGTGCGGTGCATGCGCAGGTGGCAGGGCAAGTTGTGCACGCATTGCATCATGGGGGCAGGCAGCAAGCGCGCACACGAGCACTTTTGGCACGCAATGTGGAAAAGGTTAGCCATCACTGGTATCGGGCAGCGATGACTAACCTTTTGGATGCCGCAACCCCAAAATGTAATGCAAGAGCCCCCTGCGCCTGCGCCCTGCTCCCCCGTTCATGCCTACACGACCCCACGTGTTATGTATATGTAAATAATGTAGTTGGGTTGACAATATATAAACTACAAATATATATATATTTGTAGCTTTAAGGAAAAATACTGTAATGTATTATGCTGTGTTCTGGTTGGTTAATAATGCTACAAGTTGCCATAAGAAGGAGCTATAGATCATGGTTTAATTCTCTTTCTTTTTCTCTTTTGCATTGATGATCTCTCTTTATACTGATACTTACTGACTACGGACCGATACTGACTAACCCTGTTTATTTTGATATTCTGTTGATATCGAAGATTATGTGTTGTATCATGGTTTGATGTTTGTCTGCTGTAAAAGACATGGAACCGGTAAGAAGACTTTATAACTGGATATTTCTGGACTGTTAAAAACGTGGATGACATGGACTGTTTATTGGACTGTGCTATTTCTTCAAGTAAACATTAACACAACTTGTTCAACTCTGTGTGGCTGTATATTTCTTCATAACTGTTCTCATAAACCATTTTCCGTGTGCATATCCTTTTTATACAAGGATTATTCTGCACATATCCTAACACCACGCATGCACACACCCCCACACCCATTTTTGGCTTCCAGGCTGGTGCAGGCCTTCGAGGTCCAAAACAAGTTATGAGGGGTGCACACGGTCCCTCTGCGTCCCGTTTGGGCTTCCAGGTTGGTGGAGGCCTTCATGTGCAAACCCCCAAAATGCAACGTAAGCGCCCACCACACATGCACCCCACCCTATCGCGTATGCGCGGCAGACACCCGAAAACCAGATGCCTGACAGGAGGCACGCATGCATGCGCATTGGAGGTGGGCTGGGGCGACGGCTAGGTTTGCCATCGCAGGTATAGGGTCTTTTGCTTGAGCAGAGGTTGGACTAGAAGACCTCCAAGGTCCCTTCCAATTCTGTTACGCCTCAGCCTGGGTCACCACTGCTGGCTACCCAAGATGTCTTCTTCTGGTCTTCAATTTGGACCCTGCCTTTTGCAAGGGGGACAGAAACTGAGGAGCCAACAAAGACACGGCCAGGTCAACGGTGAGTTGAGACACTCTTACCTTTGGTATCGTTCACCGGGTCCATGTGCCTGTAGATGTATCCCTCTAAGTAGGAATGGAACTTGGGCGTGGGTGGGAAGAAAGCCAGGCAGATGGACATCAGCTCCCAACCCCGGGCGAGACTCTCATAGCGGAAGTTCTCAGTGGTCTGCCGGCACAACTGGATGTAAAGCTCATCGCGGAGGCCCTGCATGCTCCACCCTTTGGTGGCAATCTCCAGAGCTACGTTGAGTTGGTCCGTCTTGGACCGCCGGTCGCCCATGTACATCTGGATGAGCTTGAATATCTCGCAGGCTTCCTTCTTGACATTGCGGTCACTGGTCATGATCATGGGCTTCTTGATGGACTCGCTGCTCCAGGCCAGCATGTTGGCGATGGAGATCTTGCGTCGGAAGAGACCTTGCGTGTGCTTGTTGAAGTGTTTGGAGGCCCAGTTCTCAATGTCTGTCTCCGAGGAGGGCTTCCTCAGGTTGAAGGTGGGGAAGACGCAGCTGTTGCTGGGCATCATGTTCCGGTTTTGGCGGCTGCTCTCAAACTGGACGCAGGCGCCAAGATCTTCTGACTGGGGAGACAAGGCAAGAGAGGACAACAGTGACCGAACGGCCTTGACTTGAGGGGAGACCACCAACCACCCAAGTAATGGTGAAGTCCACCCTCCAGATTTTCTTCCTCACTCCCAACCACACCAGAAAATGGAAGAACATGTCTCAAAGATGCTTTTTAATAAGATAAAAGTCTGTAGAGTTTCCCCATCATCCAGGTCATGGTTGTCCCAAAGGTGCTTTTTCAGGAGGCAACTGGACTTTCTGGTTTTTTTCCTTGAAGACATTTCGCTTCTCATCTAAGAAGCTTCTTCAGCTCTGACCAGATGGTGGGGGAATGGATGGATTTATACTCCTTGCAGACTGCTGGTCATTTGCATCCTTTTAGATGGTCGTTGGGGCCACTTGGAGGTTTATCTGTGTCCTCTCAGGGTCACCTGAGTGATGATCCTGGTTTCTTTTTTTCCTTCTGGAAATCCATTCCTACCCCCCACACCATTCCAAGGGTCTTCATCCCAAACTGTACAGCTAAACTGTAGAGATTTCCAGAGAAAAAAATTGCAGGCAACAGGCACCACTTGCCCCACTCAGGTGACTCTGAGGACACAGACAAACCTCCAAGTGGCCTCAACGACCCTCTAAAAGGATGCAAATGACCAGCTGTTTGCAAGGAATGTAAATCCTTCCCTTCCCCACCATCCAGTCAGAGCTGAGGAAGCTTCTTGGATGAGAAGCAAAATGTCTTCAAAAGAAAAACCAGAAAGTCCAGTTGCCTCTTGAAAAAAAGCACCTTTGGGACATAAGATATATAAGAGCACAGTGGCACACACTAAAAATGAAATTCTGTTGCCCACTCTCAAAAGAAAGTATACATCTACCCATAAACATATGTAACACACATACACACAGGCTATATACATACACATGTGTATGTGTGTACACACACACAAACACACACAACACACTAATCACTGTCTATTTCGAATACGTAGCGGAAAGAGGAAACTTGAGAGTTCACAAGTTTAATACTCTATAGAACAAAAGCTGTGACTGAATCTAGATTAGATTTCCACAAACTTTCCAGCTTTGTGGACTGGGGGGGGGGGGGGGGAGGGGGGGGATGGTTCTGCATGAACAACTGGCGAGTGCGCGTCGGCAGCTCCATTTGTGCAGGTGCCCACCGTTCACACAAATGGAGCATGCATACACACGCCCACTGATTGAGAGTTCACAAGGTTGATGTTATATGGAGCAAAACTTTGATCCGAATCTGAGTGTTCTGCTTCGGGTACCACGGAGCCCCATCCTCCCAGAAGAGTAACAAGGAAAACAGGTCGTGGAGAGGGTGTGTAGCATCCCAGACCCTGCTCAAGCATCACTTATGTGCCACGTCCTGGCAAGAAGGGAGTGAACTGCCAATAATATTTTCTGCTGTCCTCACCACTCCCTCCCTTGCCTTCCAGTCTGAAGCAGGGATGATTCCAAACCAGACTCTAATGCAATACAACAGGATGCTCTCGGTTACAGAAAGTGGTAAGGACAGGAGGAGGGAGATTTTCAAAAAGTCAACTGGATTTTTCTTGGTTTGGGTTCCTTGAAAACGTTTCACTTCTCATCCCAAGAAGCTTCTTCAGTTCTTCAGAATATACAACTTCAGAACAGGTTGCAAAGGGGTTGTGTAGCGTTCCCAGACAATTCTGCGTACCCTGCTGAAGCACTGCTTATATGCCGTGTCCTGGAGAGAAGGAAATGAACTGCCAATAAACTTTCCCGCTGTCCTCACCACCCTCTGCACAGCCTTCCCGTTCTGAAGTAGTAATGCTTCCAAACCAGACTGTCATACCGGATGACAGGATGCTCTTGGTTATAGAAAGTGGTAAGGACAAGGGAAGGAAGATTTTCAAAAAGTCAACTTTTCTTGGTTTTGGGTTCCTCAAAAAACGTTTCGCTTCTCACCCAAGAAGCTTCTTCAGTTCTTCAGATGATACAACCATACAACTTCAGAACTGAAGAAGCTTCTTAGGTGAGAAGCAAGAGGCTTCTTGGTGGTGCAACGCAAGGATTCAATCGGGAGAAGACTTTCTTCTTTGCATGTGAAATGATCTAGATGAACCTCAAGTCGGAGGTTATTCTACAGGGACATCAGAGACCTAGTCCATGGAATCACTTTCCTATAGAGGAAGTCCCCAACTTACAACCATTCTTTTATTGACCGTTACTAGCTGAACAACTGTAGCAATTCACTTAAAAATGGTGGCAAGAAAGGTTGCAACCTGGGACAAAACTCAGTTAACATGTCTCACTTAACCACAGAAATTTGGTGCTCAATTGGGGTCATAAATCAAGGAACACCTTTATGATAATAGGTTAATATACATTCAAAATTTGCTCCTTAAAAAATAAATGAACTTCAAATGTGACTGTCTAATTTATTCAGTTCCATGTCATTTACATATGCATATTAAAGCATATCTGGATTTATCAAATTAACAATGCTATCATTGGCATCAATACTGTACATATTATTAACCTCCAATTCAGTATCACTTGGGGCAGGGGTCTCCAAAGTTTGCAACTTTTAAAATTTCTGGAATTCATATCCCCAAATTCCTCAGCCAGCCATGCTGGCTGGGGAATTGTTGAAGTCCATAAGTTTTAAAGTTGCAAACTTTGGAGACCCCTGCCTTAGGGACTAAACTCCCAGGATTCCCAGCCAAGACACGCTCTTACCTCTCATATGGTACCTAGGAATTCTGGGAATTGTAGTTCCAACACTCCCGAAAGGCTAGAGAAGAAAACTCTTGATTTATCACCTTCTCAAATGGTTAATGTGCTGTTATATGCAAATATTACAAATATAGTCCCTCTCCTTACTTTCCCACCAAAACATGGGTGCACTGTCTTCCTGTAGACTAAAATTCCCCCGTCTGCCATGATGTTTCCAAATATTCACTTTATTTATTAAATTTATGCGCCCTATGCAAAGAGACTCTGGGTGCCTTAACAATACCATGAAATCGTGAATATCAAAAGATGAAAATGCTTGTCTTGCAGGCCTTTTGCTAAGCAAAAGATTTCCCGGCTGGATATATTTTTGTTCCTCTTAAATCCCTATCATTTAGTTCTGTTTCATTCATTTGCTTCACTTAACGGTGCATTCAATTTCTTACACAGCCCATCTCCTCTAATTGGGTGGTTTATTCTGCAATATAAAACAATAGAAACGCTTGAAAAGAGAAGCACAGATAAAACAAAGAGGTTAAAAATCAGGATTAACACTTGCGGGTTCAAAGTTAAATCAAAAAGTTCAGTAGGCTAATAAACATTTTAACAAGAGGGAGGGAGCTCTCTCAAACGACCAACAAATGCCCAGAGTTGCAGCCCACTCTTAAGCCACCTCCGTGCTAACTTTCCACAGAGAAAACGAAGGACTTAAAACTACAGGCTGTGATTGTGGAGTCAGAAAACACAGTTCTTTGCTAGGGGTGTTTTTCATTTGAGATTTGGAAAGTATCGCGACACCCTTCAAATATTTACTAGGGTGCCACGCAGAAGAAAGTTTAAACCTGTTCGCCATCGTTCCAAAATGCAGACCCGGGAACAAAATATTGAAATTTTAAAACGCTGACCTCCATCCCCCACTGCATCAAAACTTGGATGACCAAAGGATACTGAATCCTATCCAAAATACTGTAGGAGAAAACCTCAGGGTTTCTTGCAACCGTGTTTGGCGAATATCTTCCTTCTTTCTCCGCTGGAACAATCTTCCAAACAGAGAATAAATCAGATCAGGACAAGCTTATAATCAATCTTACGCAGAGGGTAAACATGTGTAACAAGCTTAGAGCTTTGTGGGATTATAAACTGGGGTGGAAACAAGCCAAATTTAACAGAATAGCAGACATACATGGCTTTTTATGGTTTAAGAAAAACAGAATAACAGCTTGACATAGTTGGAAGGGACCTTGGAGGTCTTCTAGTCCAACCCCCTGCTCAAGCAGGAGAACCTATGTACCATTTCAGACAAATGGCTGTCCAATCTCTTCTTAAGAACTTCCAGTGTTGGAGCATTCACAACTTCTGGAGGCGAACTGTTCCACTGGTTACTTGTTCCCACTGTCGGGACATTTCTCCTTTCAAAGTTCTTTTCTCCTTGATGAGTTTCCATCCGTTGTTTCTTGTCCTGCTTTGGAGAATAGCTTGACCCCTTCTTCTTTGTGGCAGCTCCTTCCACACTGGAAGACGGCTATCGTGTCACCCCGAGTCCTTCTTTTCATTAAACTAGCTATACCCATGCCCTCCAAGGCCCCTTCCAACTTTGTTATTCTCTTGCTCCGTTTTTATGCACAAAGAACGGTTGCAGAAACTGGGTATGTCTAGTCCAAGGGTCTTCCAACTTGACAGCTTTAAGATTGGTGGACTCCAACTCCCAGAATTCCTGAGCTAACATGACTGGAGGAGGAATTCTGGGAGTTGGAAGTCCACCAGTCTTAAAGCTATCAAGTTTGAAGATCACTGGCCCAGTCTAATAAAGAGAAAGACTGCTAGGGTGACGTGATAAGCAGCCTTCCAATATTTGAGAAGCTGCCATATAGAAGAGGGGTTCAACCAAGGCTGGCTGGGGAATTCTGGGAGCTGAAGTCCACAAGTCTTAAAGCGGCCGTGTTTGGAGATCCCTGGTCTTAAGTGATCAATGATAGGACAGCTGAGATGATGGGTGATGGACAGTTGACAGAATAGGCCTGACCTAAGACACCTGACAGGTCCTTGTCAGGAGAAACACACACACCCCATTTAGGGAATGATCCAACTCCCCCCATGCATTACCTGCAGGGGTGGGCTTCAAAAAATTTAGCAACTGGTTCTCTGCCCGGTTGCTGGGTGAGCATGGCTATGGTGGGTGTGGCCTAGTCGGCCTTCTGCACCATGGCCGGGGGGGGGGGGGGCCCTTTTGCCTTCCCAGAGTTCAGGAGGCTTTCCTCGAGCCTCCGGGAGAGCGAAAACAGCCTCCCCGGGCTCTGGAGGCCCTCTGGAGGCAGGAAATGGGCCCGCTTCCGGCCTTCCTGAACTTCCGGGAGGCCCGTTTTTCGCTCACCCCAGGCTCCAGAGGCTTTCCTCGAGCCTCTGGGAGGGCGAAAACAGCCTCCTCAGGCTCCGGAGGCCCTCCAGAGACCAGAAACAGGCCCACTTCCGGCCTTCCAGAACTTCTGAGAGGCCTGTTTGTCGCCCTCCCTGGGCTCTGGAGCCTTTCCTTGAGCTTCTGGGAGGGCGAAAATGGCCTCCCCAGGCTCTGGTGGCCGTCTGGAGGCTAGAAACGGACCCCCTTCCGGGCTTCCTGAACTTCCAGGAAGCCCGTTTTTCACCCTCCCCAGGCTCCAGAGGCTCTCTGGAGGCCAGAAACGGGCCTGCTTCTGGCCTTCCCAAACTTCCAGGAGGCCCTTTTTTGCCCTCCCGGGGCTCCAGAGGCTTTTCTTGAGCCGTCGGGAGAGCAAAAACAGCCTCCCCAGGCTCCAGAGGCCTTCTGGAGACTGGAAATTGGCTCACTTCCGGCCTTCCCGAACTTCTGAGAGACTTGTTTATCGCCCTCCCTGGACTCTGGAGCCTTTCTTTGAGCCTCTTGGGAGGGTGAAAATGGCCTCCGCAGGCTCTGGAAGCCAGAAACGGGCCCGCTTCCGGGCTTCCCTCTTTCCTTCTTTTTCCTTCCTTGCTCTCTTTCTCTCTTTCCTTCTTTTCCTTTCCTCTTTCCCTTTCTCCTTTCCTGTCTCTTCTTTCATGCTCAAATGCAAAAGGGGAAAACATTTCTGCTTTTGTTTTGTGTTGTTTTCAGTTTGTTTCGCTAGCCCGCTAGCAGCAAAAATGGAGCTCAGGGCCACGCGTGGTCCCTCCCTCCCATGTCCTGTTTTGGGCTGTGATGGCCTCCTACGGCCACCACCACCCCGGCTCCATTTTCGCTGCGAGAGGCACCGTGGGCTGGTCCTTCGCTGTTTCCAGGCCAGCATCGTGGGCCACATCTGGCCCGGGGGCTTTGAGTGTCACACCCCTGTCTTAGAGGCTCCAGTGAAACTTCCTTTAATTGCTTTCAAATTGCCCACTTGTCTGACAACGGAAAGGATCAGGCGATTTTGTTTGTTTGCCAGCGATATGTTAATGAGGTTTCTTCTGACAGTTCATGATTTTCTGGAGCTTCATTTGCATAAAGAAATGAAGACAACAAACCTGACCAGGGGGAAACCGAGGCACGGCAAAGGATTTCATTCTGGTTTTCGTCATCGGTGACCTAAAACTATACCATTTCGATCAGAATAGAGCTGGGAGGGACCTGGGAGGTCTTCTAGTCCAACCCCCTGCTCAAGCAGGAAACCCTATACCCATGATGGGGAACCTATGGCATGTGTGTGGCACGCAGAGCCATTTGTGTGGGCACGCGAGCCCCAGCAAAATTTAACCTGTAACTGCACATGCGTGTGCCTCCCAGCTGATTTTGGGCCCATTTGAGGCTGTTTTCACCCTCCCGGAGCCTCGAAGGAAGCCTCTGCAGCCTTGAGAGGCCGAAAAACGGGCCTTCTGGAAATACCAGAAGTGCCAAAACGGGCCCCTTTTCAACCTCCAGAGGCTTCCCTCGAGGCTCCGGGAGGGCGAAAACGGCCTCCCCCAGGCTCCAGAGGCCCCCCCGGAGGCTGCAAATGGGCACTTCCGGTATTTCCGGAAGGCCCGTTTTTCGGCCTCCCGAGGCTGAAGAGGCTTCCCTTGAACCTCCGGGCGGGCGGGGGGGGGGGGGGGGGGGGGGGGGAAACGGCCTCAAACGGGCCGAAAACTAGCTTGGAGGCACGCGCATGCGCAGTGCAGGTAAGGGGGCAGGGTGTTGCGCACGCATGCGCAGGGGGAACGGGGCGCAATACGTTCGCCATCACTGCCCTATACCATTTCAATCAGAACAGAGCTGGACGGGACCTTTAGAGATCTTCTAGCCCAGCCTTGGAGATCTAATCTAATCCCTGCTCAAGCTGCAGACCCAAATCCCTGTTGCAAAGCCACGCCTAGAAATAGGAAATGTTGCATTTTCTTGACAATTTCCTGACAATTTTATCTCCCTTCTAGTTTAGAATAAATCTTTTCTGTTGGACAGTGCCTTGTTTTCTCTTTTATAAATGAACACTGCCGTTTCTGCGGTGGAGCGGCCTAACTTTTATTCTGCAAGCAATTTATCTTGCGAAGTCCTTTTTAAGGACGGTTTCAAGGGTGCGCGCGGCTGGGAAGTCTGCCGTGGAATCAATTGTTCCATCGATCCTCGCCGCTTAGGCCAGCCTTGGCGTGTTGGGACTCATCAGAAACAGATCAAACAAAACACTGTCAGAATGCCCCGGTCTAAGAAAATCACAATGAAACGTCCCCAGCAGGTTTGAATATAGCTGAGAAAAAGAAAAGAAAAGAAAAGAAAAAACAGAAGAAAATATCTATATCCCAGGGGTTGAAATGTAGCGTCCTTGGTGCTCTCTGAACTTGGTGGTTTTCTTGCAGACGTTTCATGACCCAACTAGGTAACATCATCAGTGCTGGATGGTGCAAACCTCACTCCCTTCTAGTACTGATGATGTTATCCAGTAATGAAACAACTGCAAGAAAACAAGCAAGTTCAAAGACCCTACAGTCCCGCCTCCTCCTTTTCCTCTCCACAAACCCCGCTCCCTTCTAGCATTGAGGCTGTTTCCTAGTTGGGTAATAAAATGTCTGCAAGAAAACAACCTAGCTCAGAAAGCATCAACGACCCCACATTCGTTCTCCTCCTCCCCCTCCTCCCCCCTGCAAATCCCATTCTCTTCGAGCACTGATAATGTTACCCAGTTGGGTAATGAAACGTCTGCAAGAAAAGAAACAAGCTCAGAGACCCCACAGTCATTGTCATCTTCCTCCTCCTTCTCCTTTCTGCAAACCCCACTCTCTTCTAGTACTGATGACGTTACGTAGTTGGGTAATGAAACATCTGCAAGCAATCAACCAAGCTCAGACAGCACCAAGAATCAAACAAACAAAAAGAAAAGAAAGAAATCTCATTTGCTTTCAAGCATTCTTTCCTTTTTTCTCTCTCTCTAGAACACAATTCCTGTCCCATTTTTTGCTTTGTACTTGCTTTCTTTGAACCGCCCTTCGGAGCCGTATTTGATATCAAAAGCATCACAACCTTACTACACAAAAGGATATATCTTTGTGCAACTTACATAATCCGTTACCATTGGGGCGATAATACAAATGTGAAAAATTACATCAGTTAGGCCTTGTTAACGTCACAAGGCCACGGAAGCTGAAAACTGCATAAACAGCCTCCTCATCACACTACACAATTCTGAGTTTCTGCGGCAATCACAAACAAGTTACAATATCAGCAAAACCAGGGAGCCAGAGAATCGCCAAGTGTCGGGCACATCATCATCATCATCAACAACTATAACCATTTCTAAATAAAAGAAGAAGGGAGACAGTGCAATTCTGAACCCAAAGAAGTAGTAATAACCCTTGGACTTATATACCGCTTTCTCAGTGCTTTTACATCCCTCTCTAAGCGGTTTACAGAGTCAGCCTCTGGCCCTCAACAATCTGGCTCCTCATTTTACCAACATCAGAAGGATGGAAGGCTGAGTCAACCTAAGTAAGTAAGTAAGTAAGTAAGTAAGTAAGTAAGTAAGGAAGGAAGGAAGGAAGGAAGGAAGGAAGGAAGGAAGGAAGGAGAATAGGAATAGGAATAGGAAGGGAAGGGAAGGGAAGGGAAGGGAAGGGAAGGAAAGGAAAGGAAAGGAAAGGAAAGGAAAGGAAAGGAAAGGAAAGGAAGGATTAGTATTAGCCCTTAGACTTATATACCGCTTCACAGTGCTTTCCAGCCCTCTCTAAGCGGTTTACAGAGTCAGCCTCCTGCCCCCAACAATCTGGGTCCTCATTTTACCCACCTTGGAAGGAGGGAAGGCTGAGTCAACCTGGAGCCGGTCAGGATCGAACTGCTGGCAGTGAGTTAGCCTGCAATACTGCATTCTAACCACTGCGCCACCACGGCTCTTAAGTACCAGCCCTCCTTCAACTTCCCGCTCGTTCCTGGCCCTGCTCGTCTTACCTGGGACGGATGCAAGTATGGCTCGGGCGACGCCAAATTCGTCTGCACGGACACGCTCTTTTCCAGCAGGATTTGCGGAAAGGCCAGCTTCTCAAACGGGTTGCGTTTCCAGTGCTTGTTCTCCTGCTGGGCCAGCGCCTCGTCCTCGCTGAAGGCGCGCACCACCGGGCCCGGCATAGGCAGCGGCACGGCCCCATCGCTCTCGTACCCCGAACCATCCTTCTGGGAGTCCCAGCTGCTGCGCTGCCTCATGTGATAGTGGGCTTGCTGGGCCTCCCAAGCCAGGCGGGCCTGAGCCAGGAAGGGCTCTGCCGAAGCCCTGCAGGACTCCCCCTCCACCGACCGGCTCTCCAGACGCCCGCCCGGGGACCGGCTGCACCCAGACAGAGGCCTGTCCTCTAGCATGCCTTCGTCGCGCTCCCCGGAGCCGTCGGTGGACGATGTGTTGGGGTCGTATGAAAAAGCGGGCTTCCGGCTCTTTCGTTTGCGGCTGCCCGGGGAGTAACCCGTGGAGGACAGCGTGTTCTGCTGGCTGGAGCAGGACATGGAATCCTCCCCCTGCGACGGCATGACAGCCGGAGGGCTGTGCCGGAAATCGGCCCCTTCCATGCTGCTGTAGTCTCCAGATTTGATCTCCAGGCGTTGGTCCCGCATCAGGCAGGGGCTGTGCTGCAGCGAGTAAGAGCCACCGATGGGGTTGGGGGAGTATTTGTGCCGGGGGGCACTCTTCATGGTAGGGCTGGACCCCACCTGCTCCACATACACCAGTTGCCGCACGTACTCCTTGCCGGCAGGGCTGTACTCCAGGCTCATGAAGCGGTCCGAGCCCTTCTGCTTGGTCAAGACCAGTTGCTGGTACGGGGAGTTGGAGCCCTGTTTGGGTGACTGCAGGAACGAGTGGGGTTTGCGGATGGGCGACTTTTGGGGCGAACCCGCTTTGTAGCTCCCGCTGGCCTCGAACTGCATATCCACCGGGGGCTCGTCATAGATGGGGGCCTGGTACTCCATGGGAGGCTCCTCGTACAAGGGCGGCTCGTAGGCGTAGCGCGGAGAGGAAGGCTGAGACTCGCTGGAGTGCTTGCGGTGCTGGCCCTGCATCGGGGAACAGAAGGGGTCCCCCCGTGCCAGCAATGGGGAGCAGCTGCCCACATGATCGGCCCGTTTCAGGAAGGGCGAGGGCTTCCGCTCGGGGAAGAAGACCGAGTTGTCGGAATCGGTGGCGAAGGTTTGGAGGTTGGGGGAGGGCTGGCCACCCGAGGGCCTCCGCGACCGGGTGCCCTGCTGATGGTCAAGGGTGTAGCCGTTACCCTGGTGCATCAGGAAGCTGGGCTCGCGGTCCGTCACCTTGATTAGCATCCGTTCCTTCGTCCCCGTGTTCCAACGGAGAGAAGATGCCCTGAGCAGAGGAGAAAGAGAAGAATGGGGATCAGGGAGAATAACAAAGAGATGTCTCCTTGTCCACGGGTATCATATTTTTTTATCAGGACTTCTCTTCATCTGTAACACAAAAAGAGACTAGACAGAAGAGCATTCATCGGTAGAACCCCATATGACCGAGTGTGATGACCCAGAGCATGACACAAAAATAAAAAAGTCACAAAAGTAGAATAAATTCCCTTTAATGCCTCCAACTTGGGCCTCAATGTCCAATTATCCTCAGCTGGATATCAAACTCTTCCAAAAACAGTCTACAAATGGAGTAAATGCAGTCCAAACCCAAAGTAAAGATAATTAGAAATAAAATAAAAAACCAACACAAACCACACTGAAGTCATTAACACAGCAGGCCAGGATGATAAATTGCAGACTTCCACAAGATAATGCAGCACCCACAGCTGGGCGGATGCCAAAACCCAGATAAGCCTCGACAAAGATAATGCAACGCTTTGCTTCCAGCAAGGAGCTGTGTGCAAATGCCCCTTTTATATCCTGTTCTCCCAGCTGCAACTAATGAAAGGGATCAGGGCCCTTTTCTCTCCCATAAGCCATGTTGCTCCCATCTCCGCTCCTCCCTGCGTGCCCTAGGATGAAGAGGGGATGGCCCTGGGTCTTCCTCTGAATGCCAGACTGGACTGTGCCTGTCCCCCATTTCTTCCACAGCAACTGGAGCCACACTCCCATTCCCTGTCAACTGCTCAATCTCCCTCTCAGAATCAGACTCCAACAGGGGCATCACACCCAGTGTGTCCATGAGGGCTTCCTCCTTTGGGGAACCTTTTGAGAACTTGCCCTGTCATGATCTAGATCAGGCGTCTCCAAAGTTAGCAGCTTTTAAGATTTGTGAAGAACTTCAACTCCCAGAATTCCTGGCTGTCCACAAGTTTTAAAGCTGCCACGTTTACAGAGCCCCAAAAGCATCTGCCGGACGCATCACGCCTGACAATACTGGTTTGTTAAATTATGGGTTTTATTTATTTAATTTATAGATTAATAGAATTAATTAATAGAAGGGGAACTTACCAAATTTGTAGATGATACTAAGCTGGCAGGAATAGCTAACACCTTAGAAGATAGACTAGAACCCTGGGCCCTATCTAACAAAATGAAATTCAACATAGAGAAAAGTAAAGTCCTACACAGGCAAGAAAAACCAAAAGGACACATATAGACTGGGTGAAAACAGGCTCAATAGCAGTAACTGTGAGAGGGATCTTGGAGCCTTAGTAGACAACCAGCTAAATATGAGTTTAGCAGTGTGCAGCAGCAGCCAAAAAAGCTAATGCAATCCTAAATTGCATTAAGAGGGATACAATCCAGATCAAGGGAGGTACTGATACCGCTCTATAAAGCCTTAGTAAGGCCACACCTAGAGTCCTGCATCCAGTTTTGTTCACATCATTATAAAAAAGAGGTTGAGACTCTAGAAAAAGTGCAGAGAAGAGCAACCAGGATGATTAGGGGACTGGAGACTGAAACATATGAAGAACAGTTACAGGAACTGGGCCTGGCTAGTCTAGGGAAGAGAAGGACCAGAGGAGACAGGATAGCAGTCTTCCAATACTTGAGGGGCTGTCACAGAGAGGAGGGGGTCTGTGGGGGCGGGGGTTGGACTAGATTACCTACAAGGTCCCTTCCAACTCTGTTAATCTATAATTTATATCCTGCCTTTATTGCTTTTGCAGATGCAGGTTTCAGGTTTCCGAGTAACACACTCAAAGAAAACAGAACTTTCTGAGGCAGGAAAGTTCCTCAAAGAACATGTTTATTGCATACATCATATTGGCACAGCTTAGCGAAAGCCAACTCTAAAAATTTCTCGCGATTATAGCATAATTAAAGATGTAAATGTTTCCATCTCCAAGTTGTCCCAGGTCACATTGTCCAATTAAAGTAGTTGGCGGGCTCCTTGGTCACTCCTTTCCTCCTTAAGCCGACATCTGTCGGGATGACCTTGGTTCCCACGGGAGAACTCTTTGTTATGTCTGTGAGACGTTCTATTTACTCCCCACTCCCCCACCCCCAGAGTATGTGGCAAACTATGAAGCAGGAAAAGATGGCTTCGGCCAAGCTGAATTCAGAGTTCTAGGAGACAAGCAAGCTAAGCTGGAAGGGGGAATTAAATATGTCATTAGTTTTGCACTGCTACAACGGTTCCAAATCGAGCCCCTTGTGAATTCCGCTGAACCTTATCTAGGGCCTTTTCCTCCCCCGTAAGCCACGCAACCCATGTTGCTCTTCTCCGTTCCTTCTTCCTCCTAAAGTGCCCATGGATACCTCATACTTTACTGAAGGGTTTCTCAAATTTGTGTCAACTGTCCCGTTGGCATATGTGGCAAAAGAGAAACTCCTGGGACATTATTTCTGCCAAGAGTTTAACTTTACTGATCATTGCACCTAGGCACAGAATCAGCAAAGCCAGATCTGATGTTTTCCTGCACAAAGTGACATAACTAAACTCTTCTTTTCTCCGCTGGGCCACCAAACCAATTGCAGCCAACCGGTTTTAGGAAACGGTCTGAGCACCTTAGAACATCCCCATCAATTGATCATCCTCGGGCACCAGGATGTTGCTGGGCGAGTCGGCTCCCTTGCATTCCACAATCCCCTCTCAAGCTTCCCTTACGTTCCAAATTTACCCACCTCCTCCATGTTTCTGTTGTCTGGCTTCGAGTTGACTGTGTAGCAAGTCAGCCATGACATTTTAAGAGGTGTGGGCTTTCATTCCCAGAATTCCCCAGCCAGCATGCCTTACTGCAGTGACTATCCTTCCCTATCCCCACTGATGCTTACAGGGAACTGGTGTCCAACACACCATTGAAAGCATCAGGTTGGAGAAAGTTGGCCTAATACAGTTAGTTTTTGATTTACAACCATCGTCGTGGAAGGCTGAGTCAACCCATGAGCTGGTCAGAATCGAACTCCTGACAGTGGGCAGAGTTAGCCTGCAATACAGCATTCTACCTATTGTAACCACTGCGTCACCACAACTCTTTATAATCGGAAGGATCTATTTATTGGGATGCATCCTTCTTTGGAAAAAGCTTGGGAAAAGTGCAAAAAAAAAGAGCAACTAAGAGGATTAAAGGCTTGGAGACTAAAACATATGAAGAATGGTTGCAGGATTTGGGTATGGCCAGTCTGGAGAAAAGAGGAACTACGTATGATAGCAGTATTCCAAGATTTGAGGGGGCTGCCAGAAAGAGGAGGGGGTTCAACTTATTTTCCAAAGCACCAGAAGGCAGGACAAGAAGCAACGGAGGGAAACTAATGAAGGAGAGAAGCAACCTGGAATTAAGGAGAAACTTCCTAGCAGTGAGGACTATTAACCAGTGGAACAACTTGCCACTAGAAGCTGTAGGTGCTCCATCACTGGAGCTTTTAAGAAGAGACTGGCCAGCCAGTTGTCTGAAATTGTAGAGGGTCTCCTGCTTGGCAGGGGGCTGGACTAGAAGACCTCAGAGGCCCCTTCCAGCTCTATTTCAAATTCTGATTCTGATCTGGTGCCTTGTGTGATTTAGATTCATCTAAGTGAGCCTTGTTTCCAGGAAAATCAATGTTAGAAATGTATTTTCTGACGCTCCCTTCCCAAGAGGCTGTACCACCAACCTACTTCTGAGATCCTTCGAAATAGTAAGACCGGAGTAACATTTCTAACCAACGGAGCACAGGCTGCGCCTCACCTAGTGAAATAATCGTTAACATAATTATCAATGTGAGAATCCATAGCTCTGCCAGGTGGATATTGAAAACTGGGAATTTTTTCCCCTCTAAAATGGAAGCTGAGTGACAGCACTTCCTCCTTCGGAACGATAAATGTCTCCTGTCTTAAAAGTCTTTTGAAAACCTCCCGAGATCCTTTAGCTTCACGATGGAGGACGAGGCCTCCATCGTTTCCAAGCCCCGCTTCGAAACTGCTCTGAGCTCTCGCCCTATTTATTTTTAACCGTTCTTCCCAAATTTAAGAAGGTACAAAAAGAAAAAAGGAATGAAAAGAAAAGAAAACCTTCAGCTAAGAGTTGGCTTTTATTGTTCTGCACTGTTAATGGGTTTCCTAACCACTGAACGCTTTCATAAATGCACCGTCGAGAAAAAGCCGAGCAGGTTTGTTCAATAAAGAACAAAAAGCAACATACGAAGTGGAAAGAGAGAGAGAGAGAGGGAGGGAGGGAGAGAGAGAGAGAGAGAGAGAGAGAGAGAGATGGATGGATGGATGGAGGGAGGGACAGGGAAGGAGAGGGAGAGAGAAAGGGAGGGAGAGAGGTTTTTTGTTTTTTTTGCAAAAGGTAGACAATGGAACAGTTTTGGGGGAGGCTAAATTAAAAGACCTTTTTTCTTTTCTCTTTTTATTCCTGTTACTTCCTGCTCATTGTTCTTCCCTCCTTTCTCTGCGCTTTGCGTTAACATTTTGGAGGGGGGGGGAATGCTTAAGAAAGACGTGTTCGTATTAAACATGGATGGTGCATGGCTTAATAGGGTAAGGGCAAATATGATGTCGATATGATGTATCCAAAGGCAAAGAATAGAATAGGAATGAATAGAATAGAATAGAATAGAATAGAATAGAATAGAATAGAATAGAATAGAATAGAATAGAATAGAATAGAATAGAATAGAATAGAATAGAATAGAATATGGAATGGAATGGAATGAAGAGAAGAGAAGAGAAGAGAAGAGAAGAGAAGAGAAGAGAAGAGAAGAGAAGAGAAGAGAAGAGAAGATGGAATGGAATGGAATGGAATGAGGAGAGAAGAGAAGAGAAGAAGAGAATAAATAAAATACGGAATGGAATAAATAGAATAGAAGGGAAGGGAAGGGGATAGAACAGAACAGAACAGAATAATAGAATAGGAATAGGAATAGGAATAGGAATAGAATAGAATAGAATAGAATAGAATAGAATAGAATAGAATAGAATAGAATAGAAAATATGGAATGGAATGAAGAGAAGAGAAGAGA